TGTTTACAAAAATCGAAATGAAGACTGTTAACGAATCTAAAACTAGGATCATCGCTCTTTTTATTTATACAAAACCTCGATGAAAAGACATTTTTTTATCAGACGGTCACTGCACGTCAACGATGTCATCAACGTTCGTTTCTGCATCAAAAACAGATTATAGATTTTATCGTCTCTTATGAAACGCATCTCTGCATTGCCCTGCTTATCATAGCGAAGCCTAACACGGTTATTTTATTTATAAATATACTCAGTGGTCAATAGGCTTCAATAATAAATATGTTGTAATAAAATTTTCTTTCCATCAATTTCATGTTTGAAATCGGGAATTGAACTCAAAGATACAATACAATGTATATACAATTTTTAGACTGTTAGAAATATTTCCTTTACATGTAAATGAAGTTCATATTATGAACGAAATTAAAAGTAATGAATTTAACTGAAAATTCAGTTACAGTAGGTACTTAAATGTACTAAATGTAAGGAATGTGCATATTAAATTTTATAAATTTTTATGAAAAATACATTAAATTTCATCTACATGTATACAAATATACTTTTCAGTTATAAATACATTAAATTTAATGTAATGTCATGAAATTAAGTTTAAATTGTCTAACTTAAAGTATATTAAATTCCATGAAATTTTTAATTAAAGTGTAGGATTACAGTATGAGGCACTTTCAATTGTGATATGAATTAACAGCTCTCGCTCAAATTTTCGTCGAATTCTGTACATACATGCTTCCTAACGTGTAACGTCCAATCATGACTCGCAACCGATTCTGTTATTATTATCACTATCTACTGTTAATTAGAATCATCTTCGAAAGACTCTTCCCGTGTCCACAATTCATGGAACTTGACAGTAGCCTCCACTTTGATTCAGCAGTAAATAAACTGCGTTTTTGAGAATCATAGAAATGGGCATAGAAATGTGCAATTGCAATTAGGCGAACATTTGACGGAATCATTTTGATTATTTTTTAAAATAAATTAAACAAGCTCGTTCAAAGCTAATTCTTTTGTTCAAATAATGTCATAATTCTATTGGAATTAATGTAAGCTTTTCTTTCTCTAAGATATTTTATGCTAGAATTATGCCATAAATGGCCATTCTATGATTAAAATGAAAAAAATATTAATTTTTGAATACAATAAATAATAATTGTTTTTTAAAAAATTAAAATGTAAATGAAATTTAATTTACAATCTATAGATATGTTTATAACCTACAGATGTTTCTATGACAACAATTTCTTGACAATATTCCTTATGTTCTTCCAATTGAATTTCTTATGTACATTTCCAATTGAAACTAATTCTAATCTCTATGCAGATCCTCCGTCAATGATTAGAAATAAATTCAGTTCAGTTATTATTGTTAATTTCTACATAATGGAAACTTAAATTGACATTCCATATTTTATTTGTTCTTTACTTTCATCTTTTGCTTTTAATCGCTAGGGCTCTTTATAAAATGCAGACAACTTCTTTGAAGAAAAGTCAGCTTTTTATCAATTACATCGAAATTTTAAGAATTGTCAACTTTACAAGGGTGATAAATTTCTATTTAATTATCATTACTATACATTTTTGCATAGAAATTTTTACATCGCAGGCCATAAATATTAGCGTCTTCTCGAGAAAAAGTAATAAAAATAAAGAGAGAAAAATCCTTTCACGTGTCACCAGATGCGCAACCGGTGATTCGTGGCAAATGCGATTTCTAAAGCGAGCCGTACAGATGCATGTGATCTCGTTATATAAAATCAAATGTGCTATCTGATCGACGAGCGTGTTACGGGGATTAATCCGATCGTTTTGTTACAAATTGTCCTCTTCTTGGACTGCCTAAATTTAGAATACTACATTTTCTGCGTGAGAAAGAGATATTCTTTATTCACGACAGTTCTCTAGAATTACGTATATAAAAAAATGCATATAAAAAAAAAGTATAAGAGATCACTGAATAGATATATTCAGCTATGGCTAGCAATCTGAAACGCAGCCACTAACTGACAAATCGCAGTTTTGACCTATTTCTTCTTTAAATTACGTTACTGAGCAGATAAATTTTCGACATCCGTTCTCGTTGTTTTCCAACCCTTCCGATCTATTATGACCTACATTCAACATGTCATCATTCATGTCCCGATTTCTCTTATTTATCATTATAAAAGGAGCTATCAGCTGTTCTCGATGAAGAATATAAATTTACCATATATTTCTTTTTTCGAAATTGATTCTGTTTTAACAACATAAACAAAGTAAACGGCGAAATAAGAGTCAACGCATAAACACATTTAATAAAAGATATTAGTCAAAGATACATAAAATAAAAAACGAAGAAGAACGGCGTATATTAATGTATTATATGAAACAATTCAGAGAAAAGATAACATAACATAACATTACAAGTTTCGGCTGCGGCATTGAGCCCTCCTCAGATGTTAAATAAAGTGAATATAATAAAAATAGAAAAAGAATACATAAAAATAGATAAATAGTTCAATGTCGCAACAATTTTAAAGCGCGGAAATGTACAGTTCGGTTGGATCTCAACGTGTAGCATAATATTGTACATGCGATAGGTAGTCAAAACGATGTTAAGATTCATAGTCAAGTGCTAGTTGAAAAACCGGAAACGGAAAGGAACTCGTAAGAAAAAGTAAACTTAAAAAAATTAGACACGCCGTAACTAAGATAGAAAGTGCTCACTCACCAACACGCCTGAATAATTAAATGAAGACCGCTGTACTCGTATATGTATAAGCGAAACAGGTGTGAAAACGCATGACGCCGATAGGATTGTAAATGCTGAAGTCCAACATTTCAACGTCGCACGACCGTGACTCGCCGAAACGAAACGCAACGCACTGAGAGAGGAGACGGGTCGACAATATCGAGAGTCAGACTTTGTTTATAATTGGCAAATATGCTTTATGAAGACCTTCGGTGTCCGTTTGTAGATTAAGACTATTTTTCTGTTTCTTGATGTGAAGCATTTCAGAGATCAAACGCTTTCTATACGAAGGCTCTTCATCTAAGATTAGAACATTGTCCCATTGAAAATCGTGATTATGACGCAGCCTATGATCGGTGATGACAGAGCGAGCAGAAGCTTTATGTCTGATATGGTTGCGATGTTCGGCAATTCTGGTTTTCAATTACCTGCCCGTCTGTCCAACATAAGATGCGTCACAATTATTGCACAAAATTTTATAAACAACATTGCTTTTAGATGTGCGGGGACAAGCACCGTTGTTATTTGATTCTGTTTTACAATGCGTCATCTCTTGAAAATTCAATGAAAGCCTTTGTATATGTAGGCTGCTGGAAAAGTTTCTGCAATCTAGTATTTCCAGTGGCACCAACGTTCTGCTACTATCATATCCGTAAAATTAGATGTTTTTAACCTATAATTCAATTGACAGTTTGTACCCAAGCCAACTAGTTTTGTTTGCATAATATTTTAAAAGAAATTATTTTGTAAGAAAATGGAAATTTCGCGTGAAAATTTTCGGGCAATAATTTTTTACGATTACAAATGTAATCTAACTCCGAAACAATGCAACGATCGACTTTATTTGGTTTTTGGGGATGAAGCACCATCCAATAGGACTGTTTATAATTGGTTTGCCGAATTCCAGCGTGGACGTACCTTTCTTAATGATGAATTCCGTGAAGGTCGTCCATCCACATCTGTTGTTGCCACTAATGTTGATGCTGTGCGTGAAATGATTGAGCGAGACCGGCATATAACATACCGCG